CCAACTCTTCTATTAGAGGTCCATTGAATGAAGTAACTTCACCGGATAAGGATTTAGATATCATGACTGAATGCATGAAGGTTTTGGATGATTTGGATGTGGATGCTGATATTTTTGTGAAGGCTTTAGATATTTTACATGACCAGCCATTAAAAAGAGGGCTTTTCTTACGCATGACGGAGAAGAGAAGGATGGAGTGGTTAGGAAGTTTGGTTTGATGTTTGCTGACGTTTGCTTGAAAAGAGGGTTCACTTGATGATTATGTGTTTTAGAGTTCAAGTTTGAGTATTTATGTTTGCTGTATGTTTTATGGAGCTTTGTTTAAGTGTGAGCTTGTATTTTGGATTAAGTTTGTTTAAGTGTTTGTTTGATCAAGTATTATGTATTTGAAGTTTGTTTGTGCATTTTCTGATTCGAATATATTATCTATGCAGAAACGGAATGGGAAGTTCAGATACAGATTCTGATGATGAGATGCATAGAAATCTGATAATATATTTGGCATTTTTGGAGAATGAGAGATTGAATTTGCCTAAAGAACCATGCAGAAACTCAAAATTGCCAGGACATCAATGGGTTCAAGAACTTTTGCGTGGTCATCCGATTAGGATATATGAAGAACTACGAACTGATAAAGAAACATTTATTGCTTTATGCGATGAATTGAAACAACAAGGATTGTTGGAATCTACCAAGAGAGTCATTGTTGAAGAACAAGTGGCAATCTTCCTACGAACTTTAGGTCACGCCATTGACTTTCGAGATGGTGCTGAAAGGTTTCAGCACTCTACAGCTACCATCTCTAAGTACTTCGGTAAAGTATTGAAAGCAGTGGTGAAGCTTTCCAACAAGTACATTGTTCCCCCAAATTTCGATAAAGTTCCTGAAAAAATAATTGGTTCAAAATATGATCCATATTTTGAGGTAAATTAATTTGCCTCTATAGTTAGTTCAACAATTTTATAACATGTTCATCTAACATTTTCTATTTTGTAACTTAGAGCTGCATTGGGGCAATAGATGGAGTGCATATTGATGCATCTATTCCAACCGGCGAGCAAATACCATTCCGGGGGCGAAAGACAACAACTACTCAGAATGTGAAGGCTGCATGTTCATTTGACATGCTTTTCACCTATGTAATGGCAGGGTGGGAGGGCACGGCAAATGATTCTAGGATTCTTGCTGAAACAGTTTCTAATCCAGGGAATAAATTTCCAATGCCGCCGCGAGGTATGTAATGAATAATTTTTTATGTCTATATAGATTACAAATTTATTAGTTTATAACTAATTAACTTCTAAAAAATTTTCAGGTAAATATTATGTTGTTGATTCTGGATATTCAAACATGCCTGGATTTTTAGCACCCTACCGGACAAGAGAATCTTCTCATTTCCAAGAGATTAACCGTGCAGGTGGCCCAAAAAATCGTAAACAATTGTTTAACTTTTATCATTCGTCCCAACGCAACGTTATTGAGCGTTGTTTTGGAGTTTTGAAAGCTAGGTTTCCAATTCTAAAACATATGCCTAACTTTCCATTCAAGAAGCAAGCACAAATTGTTATAGCTACTTGTGTGATACATAACTTCATCAAGATCCACTGTGATGAAGACGTCTTATTTGACGAATACCAACAGTGTGATGTGGAAGTCCAGGGAGTACAACAAACTGAAGTGTATGATGTCGGTTCAACTCAAACTCGGGCAATGGAAATTCGACGTGATGAAATAGCAGACAAGTTGTGGAATGACTTTCAAGCAGGAGTTATTTGATGTTTTCACTTATTTGTATTTGTTATTGTAGTCGTACTTCTTAAAATGTTTGGTTGATGTAGTAGTATTTTGTTTATTTGTTTAAAACAAGATTGCTATTGAAAACATAAATCAGTTTGTAATAACTGTATCTAAGCAAGTTTTCATTTCCAGGTTTCAGTTTCAGAACTCTCTAAATTCTCAGCTAAACAAGTTTTCTTCAGGTTTTGTTTTCCAGAAAACGACAGATTCCTTTTCTTCAGATTCCCTTTTCTGTTTTCCAGAAATAAAAAAAAAACAGAATGAGTACTAAACGGGGCATTAGGGATGTGATTTCCACTTCTATTGGTAGAACAGCTTCCATTCCATAGACTAGGGAGAATGGGGTTGCCCCCGTTGATGTTCTCACTGTAGTTCGATTCCCATGTAGAGCGAATGGTAACATGTCATGCCAATCCCGGTATGTGACACTACAAAAAAACTTGGCTATAGAGGGAGAGATTATTTGCTTCTAAATGACATTTATTTGCTTCTATATATCTATGGAGGCAGATACGTTATTTGCATCGGACGCCTCTGTCTCTAATTCCTTTTAGAGTCAAATATAGATGCAAATAACATAGGCTACTAATTATGAAATTAGAAGCAAATTTATTGCATTCGGATTCTATCTTTAAGAGCTTGTCTCTTACCTTCTTATTTACTTTTAGAAGCAATTACATTTGTTTGCAATGTAAACTTTTGATGCAACTATATTTGCTTCTAAACTTCCTTATGGAGACATGAATATTTGTCTCTAATGAATACATTTTTCGAAGCAAATAATTTTTTTTACTATTTTTGCTTGTTGACTTGTTGTTGCAATAATATTTCTCTTATAATTGGCTCTATTTAATAAAAAGTAAGCATATTTTGATTAAACAAATCAAAAAGATCAACGTTTACATGATTCGTAAAATACATGAAAGTTAATACATCAAACTAAATACATACATTTGTTAAAAAAAAAACTAAATACATTGATTTTCCACAATTTTCAATGCTTATTATATAGTTGGACAAGGAAAAAGTACACAAAAAATTGTATCCTAACAAAGAAGGACTACTGAGCTCTTCTTCTCCCTTATCCCTTTTCCATTGTTGCTGCTGCCCTTGAACCAAAAATGTAGATAATCCCGTAACCCATGTCTTGGTTTGCCTTTACTTGTCACCACCAATCATCATTAAGCATCTCGAGCAGATTTGAAAAACTCGACAATTGTATCCTGAAAGGAGAATAAGAAGAAATAGCTTAAAAAATTAAGAAACCTAATTAATATATCCAATCAAGTTTTACTATGTATGAATTGACAAACACGAGCGTGAAACAATAAATTACCAATCCTCAATGTTCAGCATTCTAGTTTCTAGAGCGCTGCATGCTAATGCCTGCGTGCTTTGAAACAATTGTCTAAGATACTTGAAATTGAAAAAAGCAAACGCCCAAAAGACGGGATTAGAAACCCTAAACACCAATACAGGAAGAGCGGCAATAATTTTATTTGATTTTACTCAAATACATACCGTTGTCATTGTCGATCTGCAGTATTATTGTGTTATGCCTTGAAGACTCCGTCGCTTTACCTTGGTCGACCCATTACGACGCCTCTGCCACAACTACCATTGTTATGCTTCTGCTTCAATTTCCCACCGCCAATACTAGACATCAGAAGCCTCTTCTAGTCGCTGCTGGCATCTCCATGGGATCCAATGTGGGAGCCGGGGAAGAAGAACTAGTGAAGAGAGTATGGAAGACAAAGGGACTCTCTCTCTCTCTCTCTCTCTCTCTCTCTCTCTCTCTCTCTCTCTCGTTATTTTAACAGCCAATATTAGGTGTTGTTATTGAAAGCAATTTTATTATTATAAAGGGTAAATAAGCGTGGCTGGCTTCACAGTTTCCCTTTCGGAAGAAGCGAAATTTTTGTACTTCGAATATTTCAATCCCGCTCGTTTACCCTCTCTTTGTTTCAAATTTTCATGTCCCGCTCAGATTCTCTCTCCCCCCTTCATTTGTAGGGAATGCAAAGCATTACACGTAATTATTATTATATACATATATAAGTACATTAGTGCCTGACTGCGTGTAATACTAAATATATTAAATTATTTTATTTAAAAACGAAACAACTTTAGAAGCAATTAGATTTCCCTCTATATATCATTTATAGTTTGAGTAACATACTATACAGTAGCAAATATTATATTTGTCTCTAAAGCTTTTTATTTGAATTTATTTATTATAAATTATAAAAAATATCATGTAATAGAGGCAAATAATATGACATAGAGAGACAAATAATATATTTGTTGCCATAGTCTAGCTATCGAGACTATAATTGTCTCTAATTATTTGCTTTAATAGCCACGTTTTCTTGTAGTGTGACAACCATCTTTTGGATGTTTTTGATGTTTTTATTTGCTGCTTCAACGGCACCATTCATCTTGGGTCGATATGGTACTGAGTTGTGATGCTTGATCTTGAATTGTGCGCATAATTCATCCATCATTTTGTTGTTGAGATTTTTGGCATTGTTAGTAATCAATCTTTCTGGCAACCTGTAGCGACAAATGATCTCCTTTTTTTATGAATTTGACCAACACACTTCTTGTTATGCTTGTGTAGGAGGCCGCTTCCACCCATTTGGTGAAGTAGTCTATCGCTACTAAAATGAAGCGGTGTCCGTTGGCAGCTTTGGGTTCGATCATCCCTATGACATCGATTCCCCATACGGCAAAAGGCCAAGGAGAGGACATGACATGCAGTGGTATTGGTGGGACATGGATTTCGTATGCATATATTTGACATTTGTGACATTTTCGGACGTACCGAATACAGTCTGCTTCCATTTTTGTCCAATAGTAACCCATCCTTAGGATTTTTCTAGCCATGACATGCCCACTTGCGTGTGTCCCACATATGCCCTCATGTATCTCCTCAACTATCTTTTGGGCCTCTTTAGCATCCACGCATCTGAGTAAAGTTGAGTCGAAGTTACTTTTGTAAAGCGATGAATCACTCAAGTAAAACCCACATGCCAACCTCCTAATCGTTCTTTTGTCTTTCTCGGATGCCCCTGGCGGGTATTCTTTTTTCTGGATGTAGGTTAGTATGTCGTGGTACCACGGTTTACTGTCAGGCTCTTCCTCTACATTCGCGAGATATGCAGGGTTTTCTCGTTTCTCAATCTTGATACAAGGCGTTTCTCTCATTTCTCTGTCTTGTACATTGATGCCAATGTAGCCAAGGCATCCGCAACTTGATTTTCCACTCGTGAAACATGCTCAAACTCTATTTCTTCAAATTGTGACGCCAATTCTTTGATGAATTTTTGGTATGGGACTAGTTTGTAATCTCGGGTTTCCCATTCTTCATTCAACTGGTAGATTACCAGTGCTGAATCTCCAAACACTTTCAACTTCTTAATCCCCATTTCTATGGCTACTTGGATGCCGAAAGCGCAGACCTCATATTCTGCTATATTGTTGGTGCATGCGAAACAAAGTTTAGCCGTAATGGGAAGTATGCTGCCTTCCGGGGACATAAAAACGACCCCGACTCCATGACCCAATGCGTTGGATGCCCCGTCAAACTTCATAACCCACGTTTCTTTTGAGTCATCCGCTAGTCTTTCTTCTTCTGTTGTCATGATGTTCTCATCTGGGAAATCCATCATTAAGGGATCGACATCTATAATGGCATGTTCCGCTAGATGATCTGCGGCGACGCTTCCTTTAATAGCCTTTCTCGTCATGTAAACGATGTCGTATTCGGCCAAAAGGACTTGCCACCTAGCGAGACGTCTTGTTAGGGAAGGCTTCTCAAAAACATATTTGATGGGGTCCATCTGAGACACCAGGTGGGTATTAGCCTTTTCGTTGCCCAAGCTAGAGCACCGCAGGTCTTTTCTAGCGCATTATATCTTCTTTCTCACTCGGTGAACTTCTTGCTAATGTAGTATATAGCGAATTCTTTCTTGCCAGGAGCTTCTTGTTGTGCCAACATTGCCCCCATAGAGTTTTCGAACACTGATAGGTATAGAGTTAAGGGTTTCCCTGGGATTGGAGGTACCAAAACCGGCGGGTTAGCAAGTAATCTTTGATTTTACTAAACGCCTTCTGGCAATCTTCATCCCATTCGCATGGTTGATTTTTTCTTAATAATTTGAAGATAGGCTCGCACGTCGATGTCAACTGCGAGATGAATCAGCTGATATAGTTTAAGCGCACAAGGAATCCTTTCACTTCCTTCTGGGTTTGTGGGGGTGGCATTTCGACGATTGCTTTCACTTTGTCGAGGCCGACTTCGATTCCATTTTGACTTACTAGGAATCCCAATAGTTTTCCTGAAGTAATCCCGAATGTGAATTTTTCTGGGTTCAACCGAAGCTGATACTTTCGTAATCTTTTGAAAAGCTTTCTTAGAATCTCTACATGGTCCTCTCTTGCTCGAGATTTGGCTATCATATCGTCCACATAGACTTCTATTTCCTTGTGCATCAGGTCGTGAAATAGGGCAACCATCGCTCTTTGATAAGTGGCCCCTGCGTTTTTTAACCCAAAAGGCATCACTATGTAGCAAAATGTTCCCCACAGTGTAACGAAAGTTGTCTTTTCCGTGTCTTCTGGAGACATCTTGATTTGGTTGTATCCCGAAAACCCATCCATGAATGAGAATAGTTCATGATTGGCCGTGTTATCGATCAAGACATCAATGTGCGGTAGTGGAAAATCATCTTTTGGACTTGCATGGTTCAAATCCCTGTAGTTTACGCAAACCCGTATTTTCCCACTTTTCTTTGGGACTGGCACAATGTTGGAGACCCACTCAGGGTAGATGGCTACTCGTAAAAACCCAGTGTTATACTGTTTCTGAACTTCTTCTTTGACCTTTAGCAGCCATTCTGCCTTCATTCTTCGTAATTTTTGCTTGATGGGTTTGCAACCCTCTCTCAGGGGTAAACGATGCGTCACTATTTTGTCGTCTAATCCCCGCATGTCTTTGTAGGACCACGCAAACACATCTTGGTATCTTTTAACAAGCTTATGAGACGGTCTTTCACCTCTTGGTTCAAACTGTCTCCAATCTTCACCTCTTTTCTATCTACCTCTGTTCCCAAATTTATCACCTGAATGGCTTCATTTTGAGGTTGCAAAACTCTCTCATCTTGTTCGGCTACCCACTCCCAGTCTGGAGGCACATCTTCTTCACCATCCGATTCCATTTGATTAATAGGTAAGTCAAAATTGACTGTTAAATCATGAAGGTCCTCAGTATTCTCACATTGTTCACATATCCTGGCATGAAACGAAATAATAAATGAATGGAGGGTAACGTGATGAAATGAGAAAGTGAAGACACGCAAGGCTTGAATGCGAAATGCTTGTATTTTATTGAAAGTAGGGGAATATGCTAAGAAATGCACTTATTTGTCATTACATCTTGCAAAAGCTTAACTGATATTATAGGACTAACGTCCAACGAGGTCACTTCCACGATCCTCCAATTGTTCAGCTCTTCATCCGGAAGCATCGGACGAACCAGCTCGATGTTCCCCGTGTTGACTGCTCCTATCATGTTGATTGATAGGTTCTCCAGTATAACTGACATATGATGGTTTTCATGTACCCCTACCATCCTATTGGCACTAATTGTTTTCATGTTGATGATGCCCCCGCTTCTGAACGTCTTGCTTATGTGAGGTATTACCATCCTTTTGTTACCCAGATTCCTCCCTTGAAGATGAGCCAGTCTCTTGACTCGTTTCTATTCATGAATCCTTCTTATGTCTCCTTTATTTGGTGAATATCCCAAGCCACACCGGTTCTTGTTCTCCCTAATTTTAAGTGGTGGCCTGATTAAGGTCGTCCACATTTCCTTGTCAACCCATTTGATCATTGACTTGGTGGCCATGATAGATGTTGCAACGAAAATTTGTTTACGCAGTTTGCTTCCCCTCCCTACATACGTTACATCCTCAATTTCGAGTGACTGGAATGCACTTTCGATAGCTTCTTCGGCGGCCTCAATATAAGGAGCATCTGGGGTCTTGGTTACCAGTATGTCCTCCTTTCCGAAAACCTCTATCAGATTACCATCAACAACGAACTTCACTTTCTGGTGTAATGAAGATGGCACTGCCCCAGCTGAATGGATCCATGGGCGCCCTAGCAGAAGGCTATATGATGGGTTGATGTCCATCACTTGAAACACAATGTTAAACACTGTTGGTCCAATCTGGATCGGAAGTTCAATCTCACCAATCACTTTTCGTTTAGTTCCATCAAAAGCTCGAACTACAATGAAGCTAGGTTTGATGTATGACTCGTCAATAGGAAGCTGATTGAGAGTTGACTTTGGCATCACATTTAAGGCTGACCCATTATCGATAAGTGCACGAGCTATCATGTGTCCTTTGCATTTTAGGGAAATATGCAAAGCTTTTGTATGGCCTGTTCCTTCGGCGGGGATCTCATCTTCATTAAATGAAATCTTGACATTAGTCAGGACCGCTCCTACGATCCCATCCCACTTATCAATGGATACATTATGGCAGACGTGGGCTTGGTTCAAAACTTTCATGAGAGCTTTTCGGTGAGGTTCTGAGGTAAGAATTAAAGATAAAAGAGAAATCCGAGCAGGCATGCGGTTTAGTTGTTCCACTACTTTGAATTCACTTTGTTTGATCAACTTTAGGAATTCACATGCATCTTCATCAGAGACTTGGGGCTCATATTCTTCTGGCTCTTTCATCTTTAGTATGTCCTCACTTTCTTCGGCAATCTCAGGATTCAAGGCCTCCATTACTTTTTGCTTCCCGCGCTTAATTTCCTGCCTTTTGGTTAACTCCTCAATTCTGCGCTTCTCCACATCTTCTGGAACATAATGTCTGCCTGATCTTGTTATTCCTCCTATCCCAGTTATATTTGCTGCTTCGTATGGCGGAGTTGAAACCTCTTGGTTCAGTTGACAAGTGTAAACCCAAGGAACTGCTTTTGGATCCTCATATTTGAATGGCCCTGAGGTTTTTATGATTAACGGGGCAACGTTTGCGGTTGGTGAACTCTGGATCTTTGCCTCATTCTGGTAGCAAACCACTTTCTTGGGCGTTTTTGAACCCTCATTTTGTGACGACACCATATCGATTTCGTTTCTATCTTTGCCAATGGTACGGATTGAGATTATTTTGGCATCCATGAGCTGTTGCAACTTGGCTTTGAATTGACCAAAATGTTGGATAGAGTGTCCGTCAGACTCTGCATGATAAGGACACATACTCTCTTGACCTGGGATAGTAATGCCTCCTTCAGGAATCTCAAGATAACCATTCTGGGAGAGGATTTTATAGATGAATTCCAGAGGGGTCTTTATTTCTGACACCTTCTTTCGGACTACATGTTCCTCGCAATTCTCGATAGCATTCACTCCATGCCCCCATGGCTTGGTAACAGATTACTGTTGATATTTGGTCGACCTGGTTGTTCTTCGAATTTTAACAATCCGACATTCACTATTTTTTGTACCTTGACCTTCAGTCTTCTACAATCTTCGGTCGAATGTCCCGCCACTCCGGAGTGGTATTCACAGTGCTGGTCTGGTTTATACCAATTTGGGTATGGAGGTTGCATGGGTTCACACGGTAGTGGGGCGATTAGACGACTTTGCAGCAATTGGGGAAAGAGTTCTGTATAGGTAATAGGAATAGGATCAATCTGAATAGGCTTTCGATATGTTCTAGTATCATTTTGGTCTCGGTTATTTGTTTGGGGTACCACAGTGGGTGGATTTTGTGTAGCTGATGGTGAGGTGAAATTTGGGCGATGGGCAATTGATGGGGTGTTGGCAACGTAGGCATGAGCTTGATCATTTTGTTGGTTCCACCACCTCCCTTTGCTAGGTTCTCCTTGAACTGAATGTATTTCTCCTTCTCTTCTTCGAGCTAGATTTTCTTTCTTTATGGCCTCCGGGCCCTCCATCTTGCCTTGCTTGATACCTTTTTCGATTTGTTCTCCGATTGTCAACAAATCCGTGAAGCAAGTAGTTGTGGCCCCTACCATATTGTTGTAATATGGGGGTTACAGAGTTTCAAAGAAAATAGATACCATTTCCTTCTCCATAAGTGGTGGTTGGACATCGCCGCTTTCTCTCTCCAACGGTGGGCGTACTCTCGAAAAGACTCATTCTCTTTTTTCTCCATGTTGCGTAAATCCTCTCGATCTGGTGCTAAATCCTGATTGTGCCTGTAATGTTTCATGAAAGCATCTCCCAGATCTTGCCATTTCTTCACCCTTGTTCTTTCGAGTTGCATGTACCACCTTATGGCTGAACCAACTAGGCTGTTCTGAAAACAGTGTATCATGAGTTTGTCATCTCGAGCATGATTAGCCATCTTGTTGCAGTACATAATTAGGTGGTTCCTCGGACAAGTAGTACCATTGTATTTCTCGAAATCGGGCATTTTGAACTTTTGGGGTATGACCACATCTGGGACTAAACATAACTGTGTAGCATCAGTGGGTCCATATGATTCTATCCCTTCAATTGCCCTCATTCTCTCATCTAAATATTCCTATTTTTCTTTTAGTGCCGAATCTTCCATGTATCCCTCGACTTTATCTTTTCCCCTGAGTCATCATTTGTTACTGGAATTTTCTCTTCCTTTTTAGGTGTCCCTTCTGGTGTAATGAGGATGAACCTTTTTGATGAGCCATCTCCCCTGGGTGGCATATACTTATCATCCTCATCGAAATCTTCGTCATCTTCTTCTTCATTAATGACCGACTCCTTTTTCTTTTTGGACATCATCTTAATCAATAAGTTTAGTTGGCCCTTCATCTCGTCGACCCCCGCCAATTTCTCGTGTAACTGCTCAAACCCTACTAACTTTCCCTTGATATCATCAAGTTGTTTCTGGAAAGCTTCCATGACAATCTCGAACTTGGATCTTGTCAAATATACGAAGTCCTGATTTTTCTCTTGTAGATGCGCAATTTTAGCGAAACCCCTGACTAACCGATATCGTTAATTATACTGGTGTTATTTTAATGAGAATGTCATGTAAATGTGATGAATGAAAAAATGTGGGATGCTATTTAATCATGTATGGATGTGAATCTAAAATTTGTTAACAAGATAAAAATCCATTTGGGAACCAACGTTATTACAATACGGGATCTGTCTGGCACCCCTCCTTGTCCGAAAGTATTGTCATAACATATCCTCCTTTCTACTAACAAACCATATAATTACACACCGCCTTCTACCCAAGTACTACCAAGCCCTTATTACATCCCAGTCACATAATTCAAACTATTACATATAACACTGACCATACGTCTTCAGCCTTTAAAAGTGGAATTGGCTATAGTACATAAGCTCTTGCTGGATCTTCTCCAGGGAAGTTTGGAGGTTGTGATCCGGGTTTTCCAATTGAGAAACTTGTTGCCTTACTTCTTCAGTTTGAACTGATAGCCCATGTGCCCTTCTTGTTGCATCGGTGACTAGTCCCTTGAGGCAATTTACTTTCGCAGTCTCATTGAGGTAATTGTTCTCTGCTGCTTGTGCCATATTATGCCACCCATGCCCTTCAGCCTGGAGCTCTTCCTTTTTCTCGACTAACTGGTTGACTTTCTGTTGAAGCCTTTCAATCTCTTGATGATATCTCTTTATAGTCAATTCCCGTCGATGGCCCATCTCTTCTAACTGGTTTACCCTTTCCCCGAGAGCGGCATTGGCCTCATGCTGTTCATTGATGGTGACCCTCTGTTGACGGCGAGTGTTCTCCAAGCTTTCTACCTTCCTTTTCAAAGTCTCATTGATGGTCTAGATATTTCTTTCTTTATCACCCCTCCCATTCAGGTGCATCTTCATTTCATCATTTTCTCTTTGTAGCCTGCTTATTTCCATATCTTTTGCAAACGTGCTTCCATTTAAGTGGATTCTAGGAGGTAATGCCGACTCATAAGTCACCTTTCTCTTTCCTTTTATCCTCATGGTAAGAGCTCTTCCCCTGTTTTCGCTCCATGTTGCATATTCTGGAGCCACAGATGAGTGAAGGTCTGGAAATCTTGTATTGTATTCATCGCTCATTGAATGATCGATGAGCCTTGGTTGCTTCCGTAACTTTATGGCATTTTTACTCTTTGTCTCCACATCCGGATCTGAGTAAGTGAAGTTCAACTCTCCCATTTTGCCGGTCATCGGAGTGAATTGAAGACAACTGACTTGCCTCCTAAATATGTTTGGTGCATACGCTACACATCTGGTTAGCCCTAGTAATGGTACCCAATGCTTCTCATCAAATCCATATAGGATATATTCTCCAGTCATCCATGGTGCCTTCCATGACATATTGTGTTTTCCGAATGAGGCAAAGAAATCTCTCCATTGACTAGCAGCAACTTGCATGTAAATTGGTGATGTTCCGGTGAATTCTTGAATCGATCTTCTATAGCCATCATACACCAACGCATACTGGACATCTGGGATTCCGTGACTAGGAGAGGGCTTGAGATGCCCAAAAAGCCATACCACGAGCAGGGATGTGAACCCATATAAGTAACCTCCTTCAGAGTGACGACATCGACTAAGGGCGATGAGAGTCTCAGATAATATCGAGGTGATTGGGTTGGCGTCGATCAAATTCTGTTGGAGCACCTTGATGGCAAAACTGTCGACATAGTTAGGCAGGCTGGGACAGAGTATGAACCCAAATATAAGCAGATCAAACGCCTCCATGTGGCATCCAACTTTCGCTGTTTGGTTGAGGTATGGCATGAGTTGATTCATATGAACTCGTTCTGGCCCACCGCTTGACTCTATCATGTTTTGAGCTCGTTCTTTGTCTATCCCCAGTATCCTTGATAGTGCCTTTTTCGTATTCTGATCTGGCCGATTCACATATATCTTGTATGGCTGGCTTATATTTATCTGCAGGATTGATTGATATTCTTCGAGCAGCGCGGAAAAGTCCAATTCATGGACAGAGAAGCAACTGTAGAATGGGTCCCAATAATTAGGGGTGGATTCGGTTCGGTTCGGTGATAACCGATAACCGATTGGTCGGTTACCGGTTAACCGAACCACCATCTCCACCTACCAAACACCGACCGACGCCAATGCCTCGATTAACCAATAACCGACCGGTCGGTTATCGGTTAGTTGGTCGTTTAACCGAGAACCGAAAAAAATAATGGTGTTTCGGTTTTAACCGGGTAAGATTATTAGAATCGCCTAAAGTAAAAGGTTCCAACTTACATTTCTACATCTAAATCACACCTAAAGTAAAGTCTCAATCACTTTTGCATAAAGTAAAGTCTCAATCACCAAATTAATGTCTCAAATTCAACAACATAGAGTTATAAACTTCATAACCGGGTATTTTCACGTCGTTATGGTGAGGGGGGGCGGTCGGTCGGTTATTTTTGGTTATTGTCGATTAACTGGATAACCGGTTTTCGGTTACTCGGTTAACCGAATTACCTATTAGGAGCTCCGACCACCGACCGAAGCATATAATTTTCGGTTATCGGTTAACCGGTAACCGCCGGTTATCGGTTTAACCGGCCGGTTAATCAGCAACCGATAACCGAACCTCCAGCCCTACCAATAATTTAGGATTTCCCGGATCATGTCGGCGGGGAACGGTACATCGAGTAGATAAGCCATTTGCCCATATCTCTGTTCAAATGCTGCTCTTTCTCATTGTGTGAATTGTTGCCATGCTTGCCTTAGTATGTGAATTGGGTTATCAATAATCTCCACTGATCCCATGGGTCGAAGTTCAATTCTTTGCATTAACCTGTCTACTTTATCTTTTTGTTCCTTAATTGACTGATCCATCACACTCTTTTCTCCCTGAACCAACAGATATGCCATCTTGCAATAACGAAGTTCCAAAACAGAAATTTTATCTAGTGACAAAACCTAATCATGAGGTTAACCGTTAGTACCAATATTATATTTTTAACAAATGCAAATGCATGTATGCAATGTTATGATTGTCGAGCATAGTTAAAATTGAATCAACCATATAGACGTCAGATACAAAATCACACTTTTGTTCGATCAACTGGGACAAACTTCCGTTATTTACAGAATATATACAAAGGTGGTGTCACTAGCCACTCTATCCCAGGCATCTTCCCCATTACTATAATAAATGGAAAAGGCATCAAGATCGCATGCTCCTTTCTGCGGAGGGACCTCGGGGTAAATTTTTTTCCAAAAGTGTCGACCTTCCTTCCAACAAGTCGACCTCCCGACGGCTTCTTATCTTCTCACTGATGTGGGAGCGCTGGCTCTGGGAGAAGCACCTCCTCAATGAAAGCTTGTTTGATTTAATAGGCATGAGCTGTTGCCACTCGCCTCAGACCATAATTATTTTTCTCTATTAAGTTGTTTGTCATGGCGAGTGTTGGTAAGTAACACTCCTTGATTCTCCCATCATAGTGATAACCTTCCGGGGTCATGAGCACTGCTGGAACTTCACGTGGTAAAAGGTGGTTCAGATCACGAAGTTTTTCTTTCAGATGTATCCAGTATCCGGGCACCCTAGATGGCTCGATTGTCGGGTTCTCATTCGAGCTTCCTTCCAATACGGCCCATGGGGTCTCCACCTGTTCAAACCCCTCTTCGACAACCCGAATTTCTCTGTTTATAT